TATTAACCTAAAATGAGGCAAAATTTCAAACTGAATCAGTATTGTTTAAGATGCCTTTTTTTAAGGCTGTCAATGCTTTATTTAACACTCGAGCTAAGATGAATTCCTGGCATTTTTAGTACATGTAATACCAAAAAGTCTCTGAGAACTTTCGACTAAAACTTAAAGAGGAGTAATTTTAGTAACCATGGCAACACCATTTATCAACAAGAGATGTTTTTAAAACATGTATGCCCCCTCCCCAAATTATTGGAATTTTTCTAAGTCCATGGGGCATAAATCTGTCCCAAATTGCTCAATCGTACCTAAAACAAAACTTGAGACCTAGATATTTATATGATAAAACTCTATACCAAATTTCATTTCTGTATGTGCAACCTCTGGGAAGAGAATGAAAGGAAATGTCAATTAATTGGAATTTTTCTCAGTCCAAGGGGCATACACGGTAACTCTGTCAAAATCTCTGGTACACATGTCAGACTGTAACCATAGCTACATCAAAATGAAAATTTTTAAAAAGTGTAAAATAGGCCTGCAAATAGAAAATCACACCAACCTTTATCATGGTTATACTCAGATTTCAATGAATTTTTCATTCCTAACATTTGTGCCTTTCTGGTGGTGTAGGTAAGTAATTGGATCAAATAAACACATACATGTAATAAAATTCAACTGGTTACTTTAACAAATGCCTATAGGCAGTTTTGATCATTTTAATTTTTATGAAAGATATAAACAAAACTGCAGCTTTAACATAAAACTAAAAACACTAATCATTATCTCTTTAGATTATGTAACTGTCACCTTAGTGAGAAATAACACTCTTTGCAACCTGTTGTAAATAAAAATTAAAAATTAAAAAATTATTTATATGATCCTGTTCAAATAAACACAGTTTTTCCATTAAATTTATCATGCATGTCCAAAAGGAATTTCTTAATTTTTTAAAATAATTTGTTGAAATACATTTTTACTTTATCATTATGATGCATGTCCAAAAAGAATGTCTTTAATTCGTCTATAATATCTTAAGTTAGTTGAACTCTGAGCTCTCGTGGTAAGCTGCACGTTTATGTTACCCAGTGCACACTGCAATTGCACTTGCACATAAAGGATTTTAATTCACTAGTCTCCAGACTGGATAAGAGGAGAGGTTCAAGTAAACATTACCAAGTGCACACGCACACACAGTCCCATTCTAACGTAAAGGAATTTCAGTGGCTTGCATCCAGACAGTTTATTTTATTTTAAGTACACACATATTAAATCTACATGTTGTCAATTGTTTTAAGCACTAAAATTATTCTAATCCAATTTAATGGCAATTTCGCCCAACAATTTTGATCATATTGATAGAATTTAAAAATATTTTTATAATCATAATCACACACCCTAATCAGAATTAATCACCTTAACAACTTACAGAAAAATGTCCGTCAGTTAAGCTGTCAGAGACTTGTACCAACCTGTGCGGCTATTTATGAGAGTCGGTCCTGCCTAGCCAACCATCCTACATAAAACTAAGGATCAGCAACTGTGGTCACCTGAGCAAAAGGGTCATAATTTAAACAATTTTTTAATCTTGATTATTGACCAAAAATCAATGCTCCCTATTCTAAATAATCAATTAGACATTGGATCCACACCCTAGCACTAGCCTGTTATTATTAAAAAAAACCCAAAACTGGTTACAAAACTATGATTATAGAAAAGTCAAAAAAAGCACACATAGTAGAATTTCCATGTCACCCAATATTGGAACAGACAATCCAGCTCAAAGCTCAGATCAATGGTCACAGCATCAGACCAAGGAGAGCAACTTAATTCAGACCCTGGGAGTGTTTTGTCATTGAAATATTTAACAGATATGTTAGATTTGGACATATATACAGTGTACAAACACTATGGCACAACAGCAACTCTGGCGCCCAGACCAGGATTGTGCCACTTAGGTGAGCACGGAACACTATGGCACAAGAGCGCCCCTAATGGGTTCCTGTGTTAAAAGGGGCCCAATTGACACAGTTTCTAGGCGCTAGGGCGCCAAGTTTACCCATATAATGTGATACTATAGAGGTCTACAAAGAGCGCCTGGTGCCCAAACTAAAAATTGTGCCAATTAAGGTGAGGCCGGAAGAAGAGCGCCCCTCATGGTTTCCAGTGTCACAAAGGGGCCCATTGACACAGTGACTGTTTCTGGATACTAGGGTGCCAAGATTACCCCTAGTCTGCTGTACTATTTGGGTCTAGAAAAAGCCCCTGATGCCCTAACTAGAAAATTGTGCCACTTAAGTAAGCCTGCAACAATATGGCACAAGAGCACCCCTAATGGGTTTCAGTGTTAAAAGGGGCCCAATTGACACCGATTCTAGGCGTCAGGATGCCAATTTTAACCCTTTAACGTGATACTCCACTGGTCTAGAAAAAGCGCCTGGTGCCCAAACTAGGAATTATGCCACTTAAGTGGGACCTCAGCACTATTTCACAAGAGCGCCCTTAATGGGTTTCAGTGACTCAAAAAGGGGCCAATTAACCTCGACACAAATGGTGTCAATTGGGTCCCTTTTGACACCGGAAATCAACAGGGGTGCCTTTGAGCCCTAGTGTCCCAGGCTCCCCTAAGTGGCACAATTACTAGTTTGGGCGCCAGGCGCTCTCTCTAGACCCTTATAGTATCAGGTAATAGGGTTGGATTTTGGAAAAATTAGAAGTTAAAATAAATATAATTAAACAAGAGATGTTTGTAAAACACTTATGCCCCCCTCTCATCAAATTGGAATTTTTACAAGTCCAAAGGGCATAACTCTGTCAAAAATTGGCACGATCATACACAAAACAGAACTTGACCAAAATATTTATCTGATACATTTGTATACCAAATTTCATTTCAGTATGTGCAACCTCTGCAAAGAAAATGAAAGGAAACTGCAAATAATTTGAAATTTTTTCAAGGTCCAAGGGGCATAACTCTGTCAAAAATGGTGCAATCGTACACAAAACAAAACTTGACCAAAATATTTATCTGATACACTTGTATACCAAATTTCATTTCAGTATGTGCAACGGTTGCAAAGAAAATGAACAGAAACTGCAAATAACAGGAATTTTTCTAAGTCTAAGGAACATAACTCTGTAAAAAATGGTGCGATCATACCCAAAACAGAAGTTGATCTAGATTTTCATGTCATATATCTGTATATCAAATTTCATTTCAGTATGTGCAGCGGTTGCAAAGAAAATGACTGGAAACTAAGTGGACCGACAGACCAACATACCGACAGACAGCAGCAGAGCAATATGCCCTCCCTCCTTCAAAGGAGGGCATAATTAGTTTTCATTATATTATACAATAATAATTTAGTTTGAATCATACAATAAAACATCAATTTGTTTTAATTACACTACACCAGTTGAAAGATCTTTATCTGAACTATAGCCATCAAGAACTCTTAATTAACACAAGCAACTATGAGGCCATTTCTTTTTACCCAACTCCCAAGAGATAAATTAAGATTAGATCTAGAGATGCTCTTGCTTTAGACTACCAATTAGCTCCTGACAATAAACTCATTAATTTCTCTCTAATTTGACCTGCAAATTTCTACTATCAAAATTCTTCTTGACCAGTGCTTGATAATTATGCCCATGGGACAACTGAATTCCTCTCAAAACATTAACATTTGTTACAGATTGCTGTAAAGTATATGAATATGAAAAAATAAGTTTTTACTTAATTTAACATTTTTTGAATAAGGATACAACTATATTTTTACATTTTTTAGGATTATGAAATTTAAAATTTAAAAGACTTAGTTTTTTTTTTAATTTAATTAAATGGACCAACAGACAGCAGCAAAGCAATATATGCCCTCCCTTCTTTGAAGGGGGCATAAAAAGGCTGGTAAATACATGTAAATGTTTTGACAAGCAATAAATTACAATTAAGAGAATTAGAGAAGAAAAATCTTTCCTTCTGTTATCGAATTCTCAGGAGATAAAGATAACACATGATCAGAGATGCCCAACTTCCCACACTAAGCTCATTAATTATCTTTAACTGGATACATGTCCACTCATATCTCCTTAAGGACAAATGCTTAGATTATAATTGGATTTTTTCTAAGTCCAAAGGGCATAACTCTGTAAAAAATGGCACGATCGTACCCAAAACAGAACTTGGCCTAGGTATTCATCTGATAAATCTGTATACCAAATTTCATTTCAGTATGTGCAACGGTTGTGAAGAAAATGAACGGAAACTAAGTGGACCGACAGACCGACGGACAGCAGCAAAGCAATATGCCCTCCCTTCTTCGAAGGGGGGCATAAATATCAAACAAGAATTGTGGCACTGAACATGTCCAGCACAATACCCTGATAAAGGTATATAGCTTGATAAAGCTATATAGCTTTATAATCAAGGTATTACAAATACCTTGATCAAGGTATTTTATGCAATGAAAATTCAAAAAAATTCTTAAAAAATTAAATAATGAAAGTCAAATTCTGAGTTGTTGTCAGTAAATTCACTCATGCATGTAAAGTACTAAACACAAAGAAATCAGTGTAAAAGCATGTCATGTGAGGAGACGTTCTTTTATGCTGTATTTTTGATACCAGAGTGCTTTTCATGCACGAGTGGACACACTGACAACAACTCAGAATTCAACTTTCAGGATTTAATTTTTAAAGAATTTTTTTGCATTTTCATTACATAAAATACCTTGATCAATGTACTTGTAATACCTTGATAAAGCTATATAGCTTTCTCAAGGTATATGTGCTGGATCTGCTGAAATACCTCCATTAGTAATCATAGGAGATAGTTTTCTTCTTTCTAGATGTTCCCACAAAAAGCATTTAATCAGATTATTTTGAAAAGAACTTCATATATTTCAAAGATATTTCAAGCTTACAGCTAAATTAGTAAATACAAGAGAGACTGTGCAGCCAATGTGCACCAGTTTTGAAGTGTTCAGTAAACTGATAACGATTCTCACTATTAATGAAACAAATCCACTGGTTGTTTTCTTTCTTTTTGTGCTGCTGTGTACTCTGTCCCTCTTCATCCTCGGTTTCTTTACTGGTTTGTCTGGAAGACCGTCTAGGAGGCATTTTCACGTGGCGGGAAATAGACTGTACCAAAACATAACAACGTCGCGAAGATGCTTTGGAAATGAAGATTTCCATTCCCTCCTTAAAAGCGCACGAACGACTGTGATTAAAATTAACGATGGCGGCCCCCATGCTATCTGTCGCAGACGTCCAAGGCTCGTTGAAAAATCAAATTCGAGCGAAACAACAGAAGAAAAAGCCCAAGAAAATGGTTCTTTGTAGTCCATTTACAAATTCTAGGTATAGTTAACTTTAAATAATGACTAGCAAACCTTTACATTCTGTAAAATAAATTGATACCAATCAGCAAAGCAACTCGTGCGTTTGTAAAATGAAAAAGAAGTGAAATAAATCAATCATAAAAAAATTATGAGCTAATTGCATGAAAACTCAATAATATCTGCATGCATTCTCCTGTTTAAACGGAATAATTTACCTTACTGCTGTTGGATGAAAAGAGGAAACTAAGCTATTTACAATCATTGAACAGGTTGGGACCAATCGCCCAAATGGGATATAATTGTAAGTCCCTTTGGGATATAATATCCCAAATGGGCTATAAATTTACAGTGCTAAAATTGAAAAAATTTACTTTGGCTATAAATATCATAAATCCGCATCAGGGCACTTAAAAAGGTGTAACTTTTGGTTGACAAGTTTTCCTGTATGCCAATTGTTTAGGAGATTGATCCCTCGGAAGTTCCGTAACTTCTTGGGGATCAATCTAACAAACGGTAGGGTTGCAGAAAATCTTGCTTACCAAAAGTTATTCCTTTTTAACTGTTTTGATGCGGATTTATGATATTTCTTGCCAAAATAAAAATTTTCAATTTTTGCACTGTAAATTTATAGCCAATTTAGGATATTATATCCCAAACAGACTATTATATCCCATTTGGGCAATTGGTCCCAACCTGTTGAATCAAGTTGACCAAGCAAGGATATCAACAGTCTCCTTTGAAGTCATCATTTGGCAAATGTATGGTTGATACAATGACTTTGACAGCAAATACAACCTTTCATGAAGTCAAATGATGACTGACATTTTACATACTAATTGTTTTGCCATTATTTACAAGCTGAATTATCTGCAGATTGACCAATCGACAGGGAATGCTCACTCCTCCATGGCAACTGATCCACCTCAGATTTTTAGGTCACCTGAGTAAACTCAGGTGACCTATTGCTATCTGTTTTCGTCCGTCGTCGTACGTCGTCCGTCGTACGTCGTTCGTAAACTTTTGAACATTTTTAGCTTCTTCTCTGGAACCACTGAACCAATTTCAACCAAATTTGGTATACAGCATCTATGGGTGAAAGGGAACATAAATTGTGAATTTCATTGTCCCTGCCCCCCTGGGGCCTGAGGGGTGGGGCCAAAACCACGAAAATTAGTGCAATCTTTAAAAATCTTCTTCTTTACACCTGGACATCAAGCAGTCAAACTGTTGACATTATTGTAATCATCATTGAGTCCTCTACCAAAATTGTGAAATTCATGGCCCCAGGGTCAGGGGTTCTGGTGTTAGGGGGGGACTATATAGATTATATAGTAAAAGTTCATTATTTCTTTGAAAATCTTCTCCTCTGCTCCTGGGTATAAAACAAACTAACCAAGGACATAGTTATGATGACCTAGAGTGCCTCTTCGAAAATTGTGAATTTCATGGCCCCAGGGTCAGGGGTTCTGGATTTAGGGTGGGGCTCTATTGATTATATAGTGAAAATGCATTTATTCTTAAAAAATCTTCTTCTTTGCTTTTGGGTATTAAATAAACCAACAAAGTAAATAGTTATGATGAGCAAGAGTGTGTCTTCCAAAATTGTGAATTTTATGGCCCCAGGGTCAGAGGTTCTGGTGTTAGGGCGGGGCTCTATTGATTATATTGTGAAAATGCATTATTTCTTTGAATATCTTCTTCTCTGCTCCTGGATATTAAATAAACTAACTAAGTACATAGTTATGATGACCAAGAGTGCCTCTACTAAAATTGTGAATTTTATGGCCCCAGGGTCAGGGGTTCTAGTGTTAGGGCGGGGTTCTGTTGATTATATAGTGAAAATGCATTAATTCTTTGAAAATCTTCTCCTCTGCTCCTGGGTATTAAAAAAAATAATTAAGTACATAGTTATGATGACCAAGAGTACCTCTTTCAAAATTGTGAATTTCATGGCCCCTGGTTCAGGGGTTCTGGTGTTAGGGTGGGGCTCTATTGATTATATTGTGAAAATCTTCTCCTCTGCTCCTGGGTGTTAAACAAAATGATTAAGTACATAGTTCTGATGACCAAGAGTGCCTCATCTAAAATTGTGAATTTTGTGGCCTTTGGATGGTGGGTTCTGGTGTTAGGGCGGGGCTCTATTGATTATATAGTAAAAATACATTGATTCTTTGAAAATCTTCTTCACTGCTCCTGGGTATTAAACCAATGAACTATGAACATAGTTATGATTAGGAAGGATGCCTCTTCCAAAATTGTCAATTTCATGGCCCCTGGGTCAGGTGTTCTGGAGTTAGGGTGGGGTTCTATTGATTATAAAGTGAAAATGCATGGATTCTTTGAAAATATTTTTCTTTGCTCCTGGGTACTATGCCAATGATCTAAGTACCGGGGTATATATATTTATGATGGCGAAAGCTGCATCTAGCAAAATGGTTAATTTCATGCCCCCTGGGTCAGGGGTATTGGGGGGGTTACAAAGTTTGAAAATAAATTAATGCTTTCAAATCTGCTCTTTGGTATTAATGATTCATTTATGATGAAATAAAAATTCCACAATTTTGATATTTGTGCTTCCTGTTGGGTCTTGGACAACTGGTTACAAAGTGGAAATGCATTTTTTTCTTTGTTACTCTGATCTACCTCTGGGTATTAACTATTAAGTAACTAGAATAAGCATACGTAGTGTATAATTATGATAAGCAACAGTTCCTCTTTCAAAATTGTGAATTTCATGGCCTCTGGTTTAAAACACAAACCAAATTCCATTGTTTGAAAGTTGTTATATGATACTCAGGTGACCTATAAGGCCCATGGGCCTCTTGTTTTTGGAGGTCCATATTTGCTCTGCTCCAAATCTGTATTGTTTAAATGAACTTTGGGCTTGAATACATCACTGTTTGTTTACTTTTGTCCATGTTTCATTACAAATTTTAATAATTTAATTTCAGTTGTAACACGTCATTTGATTGGGTAAAAGATTTAATCCATTTCGTATAACATAACTTGCCTACGTTACAATGAGTTACGTCAAAAACGTATCACTCCGCTTGACGTTACTTTTAAAATAATGCTCACTTTGAAGCCTTTTTCTGGAGGAAATATTGTCTCATTGTCTACATTGAAATTAAATTATAAGAAATGAAGCTTATTTCAACTTATGTTATCCGATATAACAAAACTTGGGGCAGTTTACGCTTTCTTATAAACCGCTTCGCGGTTTATAAAGCGTAAACTGCCCCAAGTTATGTTATATCGGATAACATAAGTTGAAATAAGCTTCATTCCTTAAATAAAAGTTACAACCTCAATAATAACTACATGATCTAAGACACTGTTGTCAACATTTTTGGTAAGCTCTTGAAGATGTAGTATGCATTTCTCATTATATTCTTTATTTTCACCATGTATTTATGAACAGACAAAATTATCAAACTTTAAAGACTCAATATGATGTCTCGTTATTTATAAACAGTGCACTGTACATATTTTTCAGTCCAAGTTTAACAACAGAAACACAAGAACAGATTTTGCAGAAACTAGTAGAGTAAGTTATATATATGTTTATTCATCACCTATTACATGTATTTACAAATACCGTTATGTAGAAAATTTGTAAATGAACTTTTTAATAACATTTTAAATGAAGACTTTAATTAGTTTTATTTTGATTCCCAATTTACCATTTCCCATTTTCTTTGAACTCTACAGTCCAACACCTTGTCTATAATCTGACTCCAAATTTACTGAAAACAGGAAAATTTTCGCCCCCGTTTTATTTTTGCCCCTTTTGTTCTTGTCTTAAGTAGGCGAATTTAAAAGGTGCGAATTCAAAGAACACAGTATAATTTATTAAACAGAACTGGGATTAGGCGAATTTAAAATGGGGCAAAATTGTTAGCAAGTGGAAGAGGGCGAAAATAACATGGGGCAAAAATAACCCTGTATACAGTATATCCCAGTGCATGTTGAATCAGACAGGTTTCACTGTTCTGGTATATTCTATGAAGATGCTGAAAAACAAGTTATTATCTGTTGTGATTTGTTTCTACAACTGTAAATCACTTTTATTTCCGAAAACTTTATTTTTTGCGTAATTACGTGAGACGGTAAGCTAGCGAAAATTTCATTCTGGCGTATAATAGAATTCCTTAAGATTATATAGAGCAATGACCAAAATTCTTGAAAATTTTGTCTCGCTAATAAAGAGTCAATGACTATCTTGCAAAAATACGGTGTTGCGAAAATAAAGTGATTTACAGTAGTTATAGTTTGTTGTTTGTACTTCAGCTCCATAAAACCATTAGGAATTGCAGAGGAGAGAGAACAAAGACGAAGACTAACACAGCAGCAGAGAATTCTTAAGCGTAAAAGCAATCTTAAAGACAAGAAGGTTGGTGTAAAAGACCCTGAGGGTGCTGGGGAGGGGGCACCAGAGCAGGGGAAGGATGGGGAGAAGGCATCGGAGAAAGACATCAAAAGCACAGGAGATGTCAAGGATAAAGAAAGCCATCATGGGACAGAACTGTCAACAGGAGTCCAGGCAAGGGGGAAAACTTATTGTGAAAGTACAATCAAGTCAGACAGGTAAACTTCTTTTGTTTGAGTACTGTGAAGTGTGTATGTGTGACATATTTTACAAACCCAGGAATGTAATAATTCAGCACTATTTTGCTTTTGAAAAATCATAATTCATAGTTTACGAGACAATGCGTGTAATGTGCCTTATTTCTAGTACATCAAAGTCAGTTATTTTGGTGCTGTAAAAAAAACAGGTATTTCCAACTTCTCTAAAAGCTCCGAGACTTCCTAAGGTTATTGATTTATTGAAATGAATAGAGAACTAGTTTTGAAATGTTTTCAAAAGTATATAGGTATTCATTATACTCAAAATGATTTTCTGGTAATCATTGTGACATATTGTAGATCAAAGCTCTGTTTTGGGATTAATGAAGTTATTAAAGGCCTTGAGAGAGATCAAATGCGATTGGTTCTTGCTTGTCAGTCATGCAAGCCTGATATGCTTACACAACATCTGATTGGTTTAGCTGCCAGTAGGAACTGCCCAGCCTCTCTCATTTCAAATTTGAGCAGCACGCTGTGCCCTATCTTGAAAATTTCTTCACTGATGGCATTAGGCATCAAGGTATTAATGAATTGATCCAGTTATTTCTACATGTACAAGGCCATTGTTGAGTACTGTAACTTGCTAATTAACAAACCTTTTTCTGTGTAACATTCATTTACACTATGTATGTATGTAGTCACAAATTTTCTGCAGAAATTTGTCCCAGCATATTTCAGGAACATACACATAATGGCAATCTCAGAAATCTACATAATTTCTGCCCATGGATTGAGTAGAAACAGAGATATAAAACTATATATATCTCTGGTAGAAATTACCCCATTTTATTACACATTTTGTATTATTTTTACAGGATTAAATTGAGTGTTATGCCACCAATATTGGAAAAGGAAGGATATAAATATACATAATTTATATCTTATACATATAATTGATCATACAAATTAATTTCTTAACTGTTATATTATTATTTCATGAGGTATGTTGTAGTTAAAATGTGTTTTATTTCACAACTTTGTTTCATTTCTTTACTTTCAGAAAAACCAGCCTGGGGAATCCTCATCATTAGATGGAACAGTGGAGTTTATTTGTAACCTTATTCCTGTACAAACTCTGTCATGGATAGAAAATGAGTCTGTCAAAAATGAACCAATCACAGGTCTCCATACAGAAACTGTGAAGGAAGAAAGCAAATCATTGGCTGAAAACATTACAAAGGATTCAGAGTCCCTTAATACACAAAAAGAGGAAGAAAAACCTAACTACTCTCATTTCTATGTTTACAAAAAGGACAGTCCATTTAGCATGATAAGGGAAGCATCTTTTGGAGCAGACTTCATTCCATTTTCAGCCAGTTCTGGTGAGGTGAACATGGATGTTGTCCCAGATTTGGGTAAAAAGAGAAAAAGTGATAAAGAAGATGATGCCCAGGTTAAATACAGGAAATATCAGGAAACTGAGTATCTGCCTGTGTTTGGAAATGACAAAAAGGTCAAAAAGAAAAGAAAGAGAAATAAAAATAAAAACAAAGCTTAAAAATGAATAGAATTCTTCATTTCTTTAATAAAGTGTGGTATTTTTTGGTAAAAGTAGGTCGAACTCCAAGGTCAAAGGGTTAAATTTGGTGGTACCCAGAGAAAGGTCTAGTGAGTCGTAAGGAATACACCTGTAAAATATCATTTAAATATGAAAGCCATAGCTCCATCAACTCAACAGTTATGGGCTAGGTTAAAGTTGACAACAGAGAGACAGAAAGACAGGACAAAAACAATATATCCCCAGGATTTTTCGATCTGGGGCCATAAAAAGGAGAAGCACAGTTGCACTCTTTAACAAACATTCTGTGAAAGTATCATTAAATTTTATTGTGGTTTTAAGAGGAGTTGCAGTAAAAAATAAAGAGATAGGTACCCTTCAATATTATAGATAGAATGGCAGTGTCCATGTTTTGGTGTGGGAAATCCAAAGTAAGTGTCAGATCAAAAAGTAAAATAAGAGTGGAACAATCGCACTATGTAACAGATTCTGTGAATGTTTCAATTAATTTCATTCAATGGTAGAAGAGGAGTTAAGGATAAGAAATAGGTATCCCAGATGCAGAAACAGACACACGTACTGACGGTTGGATGGATTACCTGATCACTATATGCCCTCTCACTTTTAAAGCAGGGAGTATAATGAGATACATTATTGAATGTTATAATTATTACATGTATGCGCCCCAATTGATAGATTGGGGATGAATATTGTTTTTGTCCTGTCTGTTTGTATGTCTGTTGTCAACTTTAACCTTTGCATAACTTTTGAACTGTGAGAGATAGAGACTTCATATTTGGTATGCATATTCCACTGATTGAGCTCTTTCAAATGAATCAATGTTAATGACCTTGTGACTTTGACCTACGTGCTAAAAGTAGTTTTTTTCCAATCTTTTGCGATAATTTTTGAACCACAGGAGATAAAGACTTCAATCTTGGTATTTGATATGCATACTGCACTAATAAGGTTCTTTCAAATGACACCAAAAGGTCAAGGATTTCAAATGACACCAAGGTCAATGACTAAGTGACTTTGACTGTGACCTATATGCTAAAAATATCTTTTCTTCAAACTTTGTTGCCGCCGGGCGCATAGTGTTTCACAAACACATCTTTTTTAAAATCTGATTTTAAATTATCTTCATCAACCAAGTAAATTGCATCAAATTGCGAAACTATGCACCTGTTGTTGATTTCTAAGATGATATTGCCGTGGTTTAAAATTGGAAATCATGCGCGGATCTGTAGGAATTTTTTCTCAGCGGATCCATAATTACTAGAAAAAAGTAAATAATAAACCCAGATTTTTTTTAATGGAAAAAAGTCTATCTCCGATTTTTAACTTTAGTTTCTCCTTTACATATTCGATTTGAATTTAAAACAATAGAGTTACAGTCCCATCAGAGACTTTTGGTACTCGTTCATTTATTTAGCTCGAGTGTACGGCCATTTTATTCGGGGTGAGTGGGGGGGAGGTAATGTTTTCGATAAAGATCATTTTCATGCCAGTTTATTTTTTCACGATGTATGGACAGATTGAACTTTTTCGCAAAATAAAAAAAAAATGCTGAATCTCTTTTTCGTGAAAGGTTGGGGCGGGGGTGGGGTGTGGCTAGTCATTCCCACTCAAGGACATATTATTTGTTCTATGCCAGTGGTTCAACTTTTCGAGGTAATATTATATATATTTCCAAAATCCACCTTTAAAATCAAATGGTCTATATATATAAGAAATAGAGTTTAGATCTTGACTATCATATCCATGCACAGTCTATTTTCAAGATAAGGAGAATTTGTTAGAGCATAAGCATTTGATATACATTTTAGTACAATTATGATGTCACGTAGGACGTTCCTTGTTGTATTTGCTTTTTTGGCATGTGCTCCTGTGTCTTTGGCTGACCAGTGCCATGATTGCGAGAGAGACAATATGCTTTGAAGTCCACAGTGAGCAGTCTTTTGAAAACCGTGGCTGACCTGACCTCTAGCGTAAGTGACCTTGAGAAAAGAGCGGACGGGCAGCAGGTCACCATTGACAGCCTGGTAAGAAAGCTGGCTATTGAACCCCGACAGGAACAGGTCGAAAACCAGACTACCCGATCGGAAATCCTCACTACGAACGATGCCAGAAATACATTAGAAATGGCATCAAAACAAGGGTCAAAAATACGAAAAAGAAATGGTACGTTATACTCGAACGCATACGCATCTTTGCAAGTTTACTAGTGATTTTTTCTTTCCATTTTGAAAATTCTATAAATTGAAGGATTAATCCTTTCAAAACACCTGTACATGAATTATTATTTTATTTTTGAAAGCATTCTTTGACAAAATATTTTCTTTGGGTCTTAATATTTTTGACTTATTGACCTTAGAATTGGATCTACCTTTTGCAAAAAACAAAAAAAACAAAAAAAAAAACAAATCAAATTTTAACCCTGTCCCTATTAAACTTTTGTAGATTAAGTGCTAGAACTTTTATACTTAACATATGTATTTATTTTGACAAGACCTTTCCGAACTATACTATACATGTAGTATATAAAAACTTTTACTCTTTTGCGTGTCTTAACTTTAGAATTAGAGCTATGTAGCCTTCTTGTTTTACCGGTGTATTCCTTGTGACAAAACTTTCCTTTGGATACCAACAATTTTGACCTCTGCGTTCGAGTTTGACAAACTAGTATTTAATTAAAAGAACAAGATGTTTTTGTGAAACACTGATGCCCCCATATGGCACCTTATGGCGAGGATTGAATTTTCTCTACTGAATGTAAACTCCAAAGGTCAAGGTCAATAGTGTTTGTACCCAGAGGAAGGTCTTACTGCAAGAATATTTCACCTGTGAAATACCGGTATGAAAGTCCTAGCTATGCCCAAGGTTAAAGTTGTTAAAAAGTTGGTTTAAACTCTAAGGTCAAGGTCAAAAGTTTAAAAAATACTTTCAGAATGAATACACATGTTAATTATGTAAGCTTTAGTTTCAACTGTTCAAAAGTTAAGACCAAGGTACTATAATTTTTGTAAAAGTAGGTCAAACTCCAAGGTCAAGAGGTCAATTTTGGTGGTACCCAAAGAAAGGTCTTGTCACTGAGAATACATGTGTGAAATATGAAAGCCCTAGCCCTTCCAATTCAAATGTTATGGACAAGGTTTAAATTTTTACGTACAAACAGATAGGCAGACGGACAAGACAAAAACTAAATACAGTACACCCCGGTGGGGGCATAAAAAACCTTGTCCATAGTCTTTGAACACAGCTAGTGTTAAGGCTTCTTTTTTTACTTGTACATACATGTATTTTTATGCAAGTACTTGAGAAACTTAACTTCTGTTATAGGCTGCCATACAGTGGCATCATCTTGCATTTTGCAGGAATGCGATCCACAAATGGGACAGTGGCATTCTATGCGTATCTTTCACTGAATTTAGGAAATCCGGGGTATTTAAGAGTGCTTGTCTTTGACAGACCCGAGACGAACGAAGGGAATGGTTACTCGTTTCACTCTGGCATCTTCACTGCTCCTCGGACCGGACTGTATGTCTTTACTTGGACAATAAGATCCTGTAATGGAAACGGTTATTTTCAAACGGACCTCTTAGTTAATGGTTTGGTTTCCGGCAAACTTTTTACAAACGGATACAATTATTCCCAGCAATATGGGTCATCAACTGGAATGGTGGTCATTCATGTTGGTCAAGGCAATCAGGTTTATATTCGAACAGGTCCGTCCATCATCTCTGGTACTATCTGTAGTGATACAAACGGGTACAGTAGTTTTGCTGGTTGGTCAATCGATTGATGATTAAGCGCAATTAAAATAAAATATTAAAATACGCCACGTGTATTTATTAATATTTCATATTTTTTGATTTATGAAAAAAAATAGGCTTCTATATGAAATTATCTTGACAAACTACGGGAAGAATTTCGTTAAAATATTTTTGTACATGCAAATGAATGTACCAGGGGGACCTTACGACGAAGCTTTCTTAGGACAAGAAAGGAACATAGATTGAAGTAGTTCGATTGATTGATTGATATAGTACATGTATGTTGTTTAACGTCCCTCTCGAGATTTTTTCACTTGAATGTATAGAGACGCAATCACTTGCCGGTGGAGAGCTACAAATTGTCCTATACTCGGCACTCAGGACCATTGGATCCAGGGAGGGATCTTTTTTCGTACACGCACCTATATATTGTGAGTCTCCACGTCCCACACCCGCGACGTAAGGATCAAATCAAATTCTTAATTCGCGAATCTAGAGCAGACGCTATAACCACTGCGCCAAGCGGGCGACAGAAGTAGTTCGAATGTTTAGAAAATTTGTTAATAAAGCCCCTCAAGAGCAGCACAGGTAAAGTCATTAACTTTGGTAAGCAAGCATCTTTTTATACCCCCGCTTGAAAAGTGAGAGAATATATTGGGTGTCCGTCCGTCCGTCTTAATTAATATATGCATAACCAGAGAGAGAGAGAGAGAGAGAGAGAGAGAGAGAGATGGTTGATTAAAGAACGATAACTGTAATATGTGAAACACGTGAATATTGTATACATATGTATGTGTATATTGAATTATCTTTCTTTGGGGATTGCCGCCTGTATATACGTGTTTTTACTCTTTTACAAAGTGAAAAATGAAATAAGTATATAATCTCGAGTTCTATTCATCATTTGTTTAAACAATAATTAAATATATCACATAATTATATTTTCTGACAAAATTAAAAGTAATTACTCATAAGACTTTCATGAAAAATACAAATGCATTGTCTTGCATGGAAATATCATACCTTATATGATTCAAAAGTTAGAATATTATATAAAGTAATATTAATTGTATGTAAACTAAGATCATACTCTTAGGGATCATTTCTATAGTATGTATCGCCGGGACACCAGGTAAAACTGTGTGAACCAGAAACCACGACGATGAGTCAGAGTGGCCCCTTCTGAGCGCGAAGCGGGCGAGGGCTGCTGGGCTTCACCGCCCAGCCCGGCCCTCGTCATTGATGAACGTTCCTCTCTCCCCTAAGTGGCGAGCTGGAGGAAGGGGTCACATTCTGAGTGGTTTCAAAACTTTTTATATAAAAATATTAAATTTAGAAAACCCTAAAGGATGTTCATGAATTTCAAAGGCAGCGTAATACATATAATTTAGAATATTGAAAAAGAAGTTACAGGGAAAATGGAATAGTTTGCTACTACCACAGCATATGGAGTTGATTGGTGGACAAAAAGAATTAGCAATCCTTTAAAACAAGGATATATACTTTTAATCATAGAGATCATTTGATAACTCCTTTTCTTTTTATTCAAATCGTATTAACAGCTTTGTTGTACATGCTATATATACAGCCAATCCTCTTCCTTTGAATTTTGTCAGATCCGACTCTTGTGTATACCAGAGATTAACACAGTTAATAAAAAACAACTTGAGAATTTCTTCAAACATTTTATTGTTTGTTGAAAAAATAAATAAAACGAACAATAAAAAAATATATAAACACAATATATAACTGTAAAAAAAAAGTATGAAAGATGGTGTTAGTACGTCTAAAAATACCATAAATCAAGACTTTTAAACCTTTCTAAAACCTTTTATAACCAATTCAAATTTGTTTTCGAAAATTACAAAATACTTTGTCATTTCCTCCAAAAAAATTAATTTACCAAGATTTTTATCAACTCCATATTCAAAGGAATTATTTTCCAATGTTCATTCTGGTACTTGCTTTATGTTCAAAGCCAAAAAAGAAGAATTTTAGACTAAATAAATTAGGTGATATTCCTTTATTTTATCAGAAATTTTTATTATGCAGGTATAATCTTTATAAGTTGAAGGGGAGAAAAATGATAAAAAAAATATTTGGACATCCTTCCATGACCCAAAAGGAACTGCAAGTTTAAAAAAAAAAATTTCGAAGGTTATGTTGGCACAAATCTTTTATAAATGCAAAATTCCAAGGAAGATTCAAAATATGTTTTAAATGTATATTTATTGATAAAAATTTAAATTAACAATCCACAAAATGTTTATCCACACAATGAAAAAAAAAAGATTTAAAAGTCCTGATTTACAAGTCAGACATACTTGTGTAATGATGGATGATATATCACAGATCAGCATGTCAAAATACGACATCTCCTATTAACTGAACACAGTGGTATTGCTTAATTATCATATCCTCATTAATATTCATAATTAAACATTTTTCATTACGTTTCTCTTATTTTCTTCTATCAAAATTATGCCTCATAAATTCATAATGCAACAAAGAAATAAATTTTTGACAGATTGATTTTGTCTGTTTATCACTGAGGAATATAATCTTGTCACAATAACTTGAAATTTTCTGATAAATTGAATATCATCTGGTTTCCATGGTGAAGCTGTTGCATTTCCTCCCCTCCACTTGCATTAGTGAGTTCTGAAACTGTTCCAACATTTGGATTAGCACCTTTTTCTTGAAGCGACTGGCTTCCCGAATGACATCACTGATAAACGCGCACTTAAGTTCCACATTTCCCTGGACTGAATTTAATTGGTGAAACAAGTTGTCGTAATCTGCAAGAGAATAAAGAATTCAATACATTAGAAATCATTTCTACCTTTTCCATCAGAAAATTACAAAAAAAAAATTGAAGCTAAATTCAATATAAAATATGCTTACAGTGATCACATTAACAATGAATCGTCACTGATCAACAAATAATTCTTTCATTCCCTGTGACTTTTAATTAATTGTAAACTTAAAGCTGACATGAATTCTTAAATACGCAACATTTTCATCTATGTACGACTTGTTTCATACCAACTATAGCCGTATTCCGCCATATTTCTTTCAGATACCTTGTCTCATTGTAACGATGTATACCCCAATGCGCTCGTTACACTTGAATGATTTTTTGGATTGGGTATCGACTTGTGCACATCTCCGATGGTAAAGCATATGAGAACACATGAGGTGATCAAGACATTTCAAAAACAAATAAACAACATAATAATCATATTTTTGAATGATTATGGATTTGAATCAAAAGAAAAAAAATGCAAGTTTGGAAGAGAAATTTAGATGCATGAGTACGTATTTTTACAGTGCGCCAATTTATGCAGAATAAACTTGAAATGAAAAGCAGTAAAATTTGCAAACACATTTTGAAATTATGTCATTTGAATGGAACAAAACAACCAACGTCTTTGACTGCAGGTCCTATGCAATTGATGTATATCGAGAAAACGCTTCGAACGCTGTAAACGTACCCATACCTGGTAATAAGGTTACTGCATTGGTTCGAAGATGTGCACAAGTCAAGTGATATACACCCTGAATTCCATTTATTGAAATATGCATCACAAAAAAGAAATAAACTCCACAAAAGCTCAATAGTAAACACACTGCCATTACTCCGTACACACTAGCAAGACGATATACTTAGTCCGTGCTGATCAGATTTTGGTCAGGGAAAATATCAAAAGTGGAAAGAGAAGTTATTTGGTATTTGCGCGGCTGAAAGGGGGGGGGATATAATAACTGATGTTCATAAGCTATAATTGTGAATTGTTTATCTACATGTAGTTCTAATATACATTCTAGACAAAGTCATGTATATAGTCTGCAGTTGGTTTGCGTCGCAAAATTCATTTGTCAATTATAACTGATTATTTTAGTACTAATCTCAAATCTAAACAAAGTAATTTGATGTACGGCTATAATTTACTTCAAATCTTAAAAGCAATTGACCAGAATACAAATTTTTATGTGTACATCTATACATTCTTTAACACATACACACACGGAGAAAGGTCATCCCCTGTTCAGATTGACATTTAGGCATTTGATTTTTTTTGGACGGGGGGGGGGGGGGGGCATACAAAATAATTGACATGACCGTTATTTAAATATTCTTGGAAGACAGACATTTCTGCCAGATTCAGTTTTGAGATTTTTTAAAAATGTGTCACTCCGACCACAAAGTATGTGCATTTTGAGGAATGTAACTGTTTTATAATTATGTTGTTACAGGAAGTATTTCGAGATTTCAGTATCCCTGCCTGATAGTCTAGGCATTTTATATATATATATATATATATATATATATATATATATATATATATATATAATTTCTGTAGGTGAATTTGTGAGATATTTTTAATAGCTAGGGTTGGGATTCTTGACACTGGTTGAATTCGGATAATTATTATTTATTCTTTTTTATACTGAACTCTCTCTCTCTCTCTCTCTGTAACCACCCGATAGGGCAATAATAGGTATAAAATCCTACGTACTTTGTGCTGTACCATTTATTATGCCTTAGGACAAATCAAGGATTTTTTTCAGGCGGGATGTCGAAACTTCATAAATTGAATTATAATTTTACTTTGGACAGGAAATTAACCCAAACGCCCAAATTGAAAGAGAAACTAGACGTACATGTATTATGAGCAATGAACTCACTAAATGATACCCCCTGCCTCCCATATGGTTATAATGGCAAAGTCCATATTTCGCTAAACCCATACGTGTCAGATCAAAAAGTAAAATAGGAGGTGCATAATGGTAATCTGTAATAAACTAAAGATTCTTTGAAAGTTTCATTAAATTTCTCTAAGTGTTGTAAGAGGATTTGCGGATAAGAGATGGATACCCTAGAGCGTAACAGACAGACGAACGGACATATAACGATTACCTCCCACTTTTCAGGCGGGGGATATGATAAACGTGAAATATAAATCACAGGAATGGGAACTTTGGTAACTTTCTCGAATACCTTCTCAAACGTATGTGTCGAACTTGGACAACAGACAAGAGAATTTTTAAAAAGCTAGTTTTAGGTAGAATGTGGAATTCTCACGAGGAGTTTACTCTCTCTTCCTATAAGCTTTTTCTAATAATCAATACTTATTTATGTCTAGAAATTTAATTCACATTAAATTCTATTTTCATTATCATTGTACTAAAGAATCAAACTCGTTTATTATACCCCACGCGTGAGGTATAATGTTTCTGACCCGACAGTCAGTCTTTTTTTTTTTTTTTGGTCAGCGCAACTTCTTATAAACCACTGTACAGAGTTTTGTCGAACTTTGCAGATATTTATAGGAGACAATGTGTGTGTAGATTTGCACATCACCAGGAAATTCCGAATTCTTTATTTTTCGGGAATTTCCGCACTTTTACATTTAGATTTTGGCCATATCTTGAATATAGAGGTGAGCAGTTTGTCAGCGCAACTCCTCATAAACCGCTGCACACAATTTCGTCAAACTTTGCAGATATTTAGGACACAATGTGTATAGATGTGCATATTACAAGGAAATTACGATTCCTTTATTTTTTTCTGGGAATTTCAGCACTACTTCGACTTTTGGGGGAGCGTGGGGTATGTGAACGTGCTCACTTTTTCTTTCATAGTGCATAAAATTGTAAATAACTTTAAATCAAATTATATTAGGTCTAATAAAGCCAATACGCAATACTTATTTGATAATAATTGATCATAAAGAAATCCAATCTGTTTCAGACGTTTTTCTTACATTATTTTTATGAGAGTGTTATGCATGTTTTATTACACCCCCCCCCCCTCATATCAAGGGAAAATATCTTCAAAAGGTGAATGATTCGTAATAATGCCTGCTTTTTTAAATGAATTTGATGAAGTTAAACCATGTACTTAATCGTTAATTTTATTTACAACATGTACAGACAAGAGTAATGTTTATTTTTGAAAAATTACTTGCATTTTTTTTTTTCAATCAACCCCACTGAGCTTTCAGCCTTTGATATTTTCCCTGACCAAATAAAATGATCGGCATGGGCCACGTGTGTCCAAGCATCTTTTACTGTTGAGTTAGCAATGGATTACATGACTTCTGAGATGCATTTTTCAATAAAAGTAAAATAGGATAATTCTTTCGACATGTGCACATCCCTGTAACGATAGCAGTAGTCAGGTAAATGTTTTTATCACTGCGTTTGACGCGTTTTCTCGACCTGCATGGGTGTTTGATGTACATGTATGTATTCCGTGTTAGTTTATTTTCTATATTGCAGCAAATACATTCAAAAATAATTTAATTCTCGGTATAGTTCTTTTTTTTTGTTGAATTTTTACTTTTCAAACATGTATTTAGTCAGTTTATGGACTTCTAAAAACTTTGTTATCGGAGATGTGTACATGTCGACAGTCAGGCTAGAAAATCACTCAAGTGAAGCAATCGTACAAGGCTATATATAGCAGGTACAGGTGACCAAAATTTTCAATTAAATATGGCGGAATCGAAGAAATATGGCGGACAAAGGCGTATAGGAATGTAGTAAGTCGTACAAAGATGAAAAATGATGGCTTTTTAAGAGTTCATGTCAGCTTTAACAGATAAAATGAATTACGCTAAATATGAAGTAAAATTGTCCATCCCTGGCACTTCATTATAAGGCCATAATAAATAAATTGCTAGATTCTCATCCAAATTTTTTTAAAAATTGAGTCGGGCGGGCAGGCGGTTTTTATTTTATATTCTTTATTTTTTCAATTTTGCAGATTTTTCATTGACCTGGTCAATCGGTGTAATTTTATCTACAATACTCGAATAAAAGTCATAGAAAAGGTTCAATTATCTCTTACTTCGCATCATCACCAATCTTTTCCAACCAATGACCCTTGTTTAAAATATATAAGCATGTATTACAGCAATTACCATCTTTTCAGCTGTCAAAATCATGACGACTTTCGTGGGATTTAAAACGAAAGTAGAATGGTAGATGAATACCGATCCCGATCAGAATTAAGATGAAGAAATACAGACATAAAAAAAATCAAGGCGGGGGTATAAAATCGGGGCGGGCGGGGATGAGAATCTAGGAATATTTTCATTATGGCCTAACCATGTTTTACTGTGTATCAAGAACAAAAGACCTCCAGCACCTTTGCACTTACTTCGTCCTGGTTTCTTGAGTTCCTTGTAGACAGTGTGTTTTAACCGTGTATTGTGAGTCCATATCAGTGAGTCTTTCTTACTATTGTTCACACTTTTCTGTCGAGAATTCACCGAATTAAACAGATAATCCTCCGACTCTCCGTGAGGGACGTGATTTTCTCCGATGTGGTTTTTCTTTGAGTCACTTTGTTCCGGTTCAGCGATTATTAACGGCTGATCCTCGTCTTCTTGTTCTGAAATATTGTTCTCCTCCACTTCATAATCTGAAATACCCATAAATAATTATATGAACCGTCATATATCAAATAATTTGTCAAATTTATCAAAACATAAATGAAAATACACAAAACAGTTTGACACCGATAGGGTCTTTGAAACAAAATAACCTAAAAATTGCAAAATATATCAAACAATTCGACACTGGGGCCCTTGAAACAAAAATAAATTTTTTAACTGTTCTGACTTTTAGATGGAAGAGTAATGTTATATCTGTAATATATTACCTGTAGGTTCTGGTTTTGGACTGAAGTCTTCCTCTATCATCTGGTCTGGTATGGGGGAGGCAGGTGGGGTGGGAGTGGGGGATCTACTAAACACATAGTCCTTCGGTAGTGGACCTAGATGATTCAGAAACACAAAAGCCATATGATTTTACAAGATCCAAATTTTGTTATTTTTTAATAAACAAATCCATGCAATTTTTCATTGAAAAAACAATTATTTTCAAAATGGAGGCAGTGCTCTTAAATTACATGCAATAGCAAAAGAAAGATAACTCTTGAATAAGTTCAACAGATCATGCAGAGACCATGTTTCGAGAAGATATTCCATTACAAATTTTATAAATACTTACCAACTTTGCGTTTTTTTGGACCTGGTGAGGGACTCTCTAAGCTCCGACGCTTGGACGGCTTATCTATTGTCGGGTCATCTGCTTCGTCAACCATGTTCATCTGTAATGTCAAAAACAATGGATGTATTGAAAATGTGTCCCTCTCATTATCAAAGAAATGAACATTCCATAGACAAGCAAAATAATTCTTTAGAATGATAAAACAAAAGTTTCAAAAAAGAATTTATCTTAAAAATTTGTGGGCAAATTTCATCTAGAATATTGACACAGTTTCCTCCCTATTACACTCTAATTATAGAATGTCAATCTAAAGTTTAAAACACCAAATACTGTAAACCAACTTTTATTCGCGTGCGAGAAATTTTCGCGAAGTTCGCGAGAGCCTCTTCATCGCGAATATTTCTCGCCGCGAACCGATCCTTTAAGTGTATAAGTCTATTAACCACAGATCCAAAAAGGCTTGATCGCGAAAATAAATCGTCGCAAACTAGTTTGTCCCTGGTAAATCGCGAAATAAAGTCGCCGCGAATAAAAGTTGGTTTACAGTATATTATTTATGTGAGAATTGTAGCAAATGGAGTAGAGAACAAGAGGCCCACGGGCCTTATAGGTCACCTGAGTATCATGTAACAACTCTCCAACAATTGAATTAGGTTCCTGTTTTCAACCAAAAGCCATGGAATTCACAATTTTGAAAGAGGCACCATTGCTTATCATAATTATACACTTAGGATGCTTACTCTAGTTACTTAATACCCAGAGGTACATCAGAGTAACAAAGAGAAATGCACTTCCACTTTATAACCAGTTGTTCACCCCACCCCAAAGGAACTACTGACCCTGCCATGGGACACAAATTTTGGAAATGTTTACATGAGTTTTATTTCATCATAAATAGTTGATTAATACCAAAGAGCAGATATCAAAGCATTAATTTATTTTCAGACTATGTAACCCCCCCACCCTACCCCTGACCCAGGGGGCAAAAAATTAACTACTTTGCTAGATGCACTTTTCTTCATCATAAATATATATACTTGGATCATTGGCATAATACCCAGGAACAAAGGAAAAGATTTTCAAAGATTTAATGTATTTTTACTATGTAATCAAAAGAGCCCCCCACCCTATACCATATGGCAAAACCCCTGAAACAGGGCCAATTTTCACTATATAATCAATAGAGCCCAACCCTTACACCAGAACCCCTGACCTTGGGGCCATAAAATTCACAATTTTGGAAGAAACACTCTTGCTTATCATAACTTTGTACTTAGTTTATTTAATACCCAAGAGCAGAGGAGATTTTCAAAGAATTAATGCATTTTCACTATATAATCAATAGAGCCCCGCCCTAACACCAGAATCCCTGACCCTACGGCCATAACATTCATAATTTTGGAAGAGGCACTCTTGCTCATAATAACTGTGTACTTAGTTTATTTAATACCCAGGAGCAGAGGAGAAGATTTTTAATGAATAAATGGATTTTCACTACTGTAGATTCCTAATTATACGAGAGGAATTAATTTCCACGTAATTTCGCAAGAAGCATCACTCGCGATTTAATATTACTCGCTTTTATTTCTATGGTGTTGAAATCCATGTAAATTCGGTCGATCAGCCGTCCATTCGCGAAATATTATTCTCGCGATTTGAGGTTAAAGAGCCAGTTTGCGATAAAAAGTACTCGTGAAAAATAAGGAATTTACAGTATATAATTAATAGAGCCCCGCCCTTACACTAGAAACCCTGACCCTGGGGCCATAAAATTCACAATTTTGAAAGAGGCACTCTTGCTCATCACGACTACGTACTTACTTAGTTTATTTAATACCCAGGAGCAGAGAAGATTTTCAAAGAATTAATGGATTTTCACTATAAAATCAATAGAGCCCCACCCTTACACCAGAACCCCTGACCCTGGGGCCATGACATTCACAATTTTGGAAGAAGCACTCTTGCTCATCATAACTATCTACTTAGTTAGTTTATTTAATACCCAGGAGCAGAGAAGAAGATTTTCAAAGAATTAATGCATTTTCACTTTATAATCAATAGAGCCCTGCTCTAACACCAGAATCCCTGACCCTGGGGCCATGAATTTCACAATTTTGGTAGAGGACTCAATGCTCATTACAATCATGCCAACAGTTTGACTGCTTGATGTCCAGGAGTAAAGAAGAAGATTTTTAAAGATTGCACTAATTTTAGTGGTTTTGGCCCCACCCTTCAGGCCCCAGGGGGGCAGGGACCATGAAATTCATAATTTTTGTTCCCCTTCACCCATAGATGCTTTATGCCAAAATTGGTTGAAATTGGTTGAGAGGTTGCAGAGAAGAAGCTGAAAATGTTCAAATGTTAACACACGCCACACGATGCACACCGCACGACGACAGACGAAAACGGATAGCAATAGGTCACCTGAGTTTACTCAGGTGACCTAAAAACAAATAAAAGAAATGTTGCCAAGTTTTGTGACTGGATATGAAGTTTATCAAGGAGATTAAATAAGCCAAAGTTCTCAATTGACAGTAACATGAGTAATAAATATAGTGAATAAGAAGTCCATTAGTTGTCCTTGCCCGTAAGGACACTGTAAAAGATGTACTTACTTTGACTTTGAATGGATTTCCGAAGGTATGAAGCCTGGCGGGGGAGGTTTCCAGCTCTCGTAGCGGGGCTGGCTGTTTCTTCAGGTAATCCTGGTAGTTCCCCATCTGTTGGACCGGTATACTGTGAGCTTGATCTGGTAATTTATCAATTAATCTTTAATTAATTTAAAACAATACTTTTTTTCCAGACAATTGATTAAAATTCAAGTACATGTATGCATCACTTGTTTCAAAAGCTCATTTTTTATTCAACATGTTGATCAAACTAAAATACAAGAGGCCCACGGGCCTTATAGGTCACCTGAGTATTATGAAACAACTTTCCAAATATTGAATTTGGTTTGTGTTTTAAACCAGAGGCCATGAAATTCACAATTTTGAAAGAAGTGCCATTGCTTATCATAATTATACACTTACAATGCTTTCTCAAGTTACTTAATACCCAGAGTTAGATCAGAGTAAGAGAGAGAAAATGCATTTTCACTTCATAACCAGTGGTGCACCCCACCCCACAGGAACCACTGACCCTGGGGCCACATATTTCAAAATTTTGGAAATTTTATCATAAATTTTATTTCATCATAAATGGTTGATTAATACCACAGAGCAGATTTTAAAGCATTTATTTATCTTCAGACTATGTACTGTTAACCCCCCCCCCCCTTCCCGAAAAACCCCTGACCCAGAGAACATGAAATTAATCATTTTGCTAGATGCACCTTTCTTCATCATAAATATATGACCTAAGATCATTCGCATAATACCTAGGAGCAATGGAAAAGTTTTTCAAAGAATTCATGCATTTTCACTATATGATCAATAGAGCCCCACCCTAACACCAGAACCCCTGACCCTGGTGCCATAAAATTCACAAGTTTGGAGGATGCACTCTTGTTAATCATAACTATGTACTTAGTTAGCTTGTTTAATACCAAGGAGCAGAGAAGAAGATTTTTTGAAGAATTAATGTTTTTTTTACTATAAAATCAATAGAGCGCCACCTTAAAACCATAACCCCTGACCCTGGGGCCATGAAATTCTCAATTATTGAAGAGGCACTCTTGGTCATCATAACTATGTTCTTAGTTAGTTTATTTAATACCAAGGAGCAGAGAAGATTTTCATAGAAATAATGCACTTTTACTATATAATCAATAGAGCCCCGCCCTAACACCATAACCCCTGACCCTGGGGCCATGAAATTTTCAATTATTGAAGAGGCACTCTTGGTCATCATAACTATGTTCTTAGTTAGTTTATTTAATACCCAGGAGCAGAGAAGAAGATTTTCATAGAAATAATGCACATTTACTATATGATCTATATATAGCCCCACCCTAACACAAGAACCCCTGACCCAGGGGCCACGAAATTCACAATTTTATTAGAGGACTCAATGCTGATTACAATCATGTCAAGTTTGACTGCTTGATGTCCAGGAGAAAAGAAGAAGATTTTTAAAGATTGCATTAATTTTAGTGGTTTTGGCCCCACCCCTCAGGCCCCAGGGGGGCGGGGACCATGAAATTCACAATTTTTGTTTTCCTTCAGCCATAGATGCTGTATACTAAATTTGGTTGAAATTGATCCAGTAGTTCCAGAGAAGAAGTTAAAAATGTTCAAAAGTTTACGAACGACGTACGACAAACGAAAACGGATAGCAATAGGTCACCTGAGTTTACTCAGGTGACCTAACAATGATGTGCCTTTTTAAAATTTTAATCAGATTATATTTAAGATTATCTAAGTTAGTTTGTATTCCTTTCAGGTTTTGTGATACATACCATCATCCACAAGTTTTGTTCTATGGTAGGATTTTTGTAGAAAATTTGATCTCATTCTTGCTATTTGATCTATAAGGTTTTTTCGAGGTATATCATATGGATTTCTACAAAAACACAAGAAATGTGATTTAGTCAGAAACACAAAGTGAGAAAAATTTCTCACAGCTTTCACTTCTGAATAAACATGTTCATTGAATTATCTTGCTTGTCCCCAAATTCTTACATGTTCATATACTGCAATGAAGTGAGATCTTGACAATCAATGCTAAATAGAAGATCTTCACCTACTTATAGCAGAAAGACAACCTTGACCTACCTATAGTACTGATGACCTTGACCTACCTGTAGTATTGAGGTTTGATGACCTTGACCTACCTATAGTATTGAGGTTTGATGTCCCTGTCGGCCACGGCGACAGTAAACGTGTTGTAATCGTTCAGTTCCTGCTTTAGGTTTTGTAGATTCCCACCCGCGTTCTGTAACAACTGGTTAAAGTCTCGCCTCTGTAGAACAGAGGTCTTAGTTCTGAAAATCAAACAAAGATCTTCATGCATGTTTCCCAAAAACATTTCAAACACATGACGCATGCAAAACCTTGGGATACAATGTAATATTAGTAAACGTCTAACAATAAACAAGTACTTAACGTGATCCCCCCTAATGGGTTTGACAACAGAAGTAAGGGTCTATACCTGGAATCTACTTTAATGCCCTCGTGAAGAGGAACCTTCTGTCCAACAGATGCTATCAGACGATCCATCTCAATCTTGGCCTGAAAACAAAGTCAGATGTCATCAGTGTTAATGAATAAATTTCATAAACTCTGTTTCATTATCAAAACCTTTCATATTCTTTTCGATATATATATACATTAATCTTGTTCAATAAGCATTAGGAGCAGACAAGCTCACCAGGTTTTTGAGTTTCTTCAGGTAGGTGATTACACCATAACTCAGACTGTTGTCTGGTACATACCTGGTTTTTGAGTTTCTTCAGGTAGGTGATTACACCATAACTCAGACTGTTGTCTGGTACATACCTGGTTTTTGAGTTTCTTTAGGTAGGTGATTACACTATAACTCAGACTGTTGTCTGGTACATACCTGGTTTTTGAGTTTCTTTAGGTAGGTGATTACACTATAACTCAGACTGTTGTCTGGTACATACCTGGTTTTTGAGTTTCTTTAGGTAGGTGATTACACTATAACTCAGACTGTTGTCTGGTACATACCTGGTTTTTGAGTTTCTTTAGGTAGGTGATTACACTATAACTCAGACTGTTGTCTGGTACATACCTGGTTTTTGAGTTTCTTTAGGTAGGTAATTACACTATAACTCAGACTGTTGTCTGGTACATACCTGGTTTTTGAGTTTCTTTAGGTAGGTAATTACACTATAACTCAGACTGTTGTCTGGTACATACCTGGTTTTTGAGTTTCTTTAGGTAGGTGATTACACTATAACTCAGACTGTTGTCCATATTGTCAGGGACTAGATTAGGAGCACCCATTCTGGCTAAGGCTCTTTTTAAGGGCTGTCAAGGAAGAAAATAATTTATCTTATATATACCATTCAATGAACATGATATATTACACATTTATCAACGTGTCAAACTCTGGTCCCACTGAAATCCCTAATACATTACAATATACTTGTCAGAATCTTGGTCACAACTTATTAGCTAGAGTTTGGATATACATTAAAATTCGTGCTTTCATAATCCTGGAAAGAAAATTTAACCAACAAAGTTCAAGAGAAATCCAATTCTTACCCCAGCATAATAAGATGGCATGGTTTTGAGGTACGTGTCAAACTGACTTCGCCATTTCTGTGTTGGCTTCAGCTTGTGAACTTTGAACAATTCATCTGAAAGACAAGTAAGGACTGGTCAATACTGGGGACTATTATCAATGAGAAATGGAAAAGTGAGGAGGAAAATGATGTTGATCGGCTTCTATTTCAGCTGTCTGGTCAGAAATCTGAAAACTGAATACACACAGCAAGATAACACTGTGTAAACACATGAGCAAATAACTTTGTCAATTTGTTAAACAAAATTTACAAGTCTCACATAAGACTCTTAATTCTACAAATTTTGGAACACTTTTAATACCATAAAAGAATTCTGTCATATCCATTTCTTTGCAAACCATTTCCTTTTTATTATGCATTTCAAGATCATAAATTCATTCATACATATACATACACAAACACTTGTATCATATTTTTTTCTTTACATCAACATCCAACCAAATTTAACAGTAACTCTATGTCTTTTGGAGGGAAAATGCCTCACTTGTGAGTGGATTGAGGAAAAGGCTGTTGCCATCCACTGTCCAATCAGAGGAAGGCTTTAGGGTGCCATGGCAACCAGCTGGAATCCCATTGGACAGAGGGGAAGCTGCCTTGATAGGCTGAATTGAGAAGACAAAATCTATCATTGATTGGTCTTCAAACTATTCAAGTGCAAAGGTCATTTCATTTCATTCTTTGTTCAATTTTCCAGTAAAATGAAATTTTAACAGTTTATTTTAAAACATTCCCAGAGCGTTAAGCTAGTCTTTGCATTATTATACAAGTTAAAACTGAAAAGTATAAAACAGATCACCAACACTTCGTGAGAATGCAGCAGTAAATTTATTTTGTTGACCGGTTTTTCTTTGTTAAGTTAAAACTGAGCAAAGAATGAGATGAATGACCAATGCAAGTGTGGATGAGGAATCATGCTGAGTGCCTGTTCATAGTCTACTCGATTTTCATTAATTGAAAAATCAATCTCCAATTTTTTATGTTCCTACATTCAATTCATAAAACAATTACCTGTATTTAATAATGAACTCACCTCATAATAAAACACTCACCTAATAAAGGAAGCAGCACAGGATAATTGTATGGCATTAGAAACAGGTTAACACAACTTAGGGTACTGCTGGCCTTCAGATACCCAAAGGGGTGTCCCACGTCGCTATATTTAGCACTGCCGTTAATGAAGACCTGCCAGCAGGAGTTGGGCTGCCGCCTCTCCAGGATGTACTGTGTGAGGGGGGAGGGCTCTAACTCGTACTTATCAAACGGGAGGTTTCCGATCACCATGGGCTCACAGGGGGAGCAGTAAAACTTCACTGCAGGGTGGGCCGAACGGGGAGGCTGTTCAAAAATAAGAATTGAACCAAAATGTTGAACACATAAAAGAACTAAATATACCAGAGACAAACAAAGAGAGTATTTTCTTTGGTACAAAAAAAAAATTAAAATATTTAACATAGAAAATAAACATAAACAAACACTTAATTCATTAATTACTATTTCTTTTAATGTTTTAATGTAGAAGTTAGAGGTTTGTTCACAGAGTGAGCGCTCGTGAATATTTCTGCTGGATGTATAAGGAATAAATAAGTCTTACTAGAGTTGAGTTAGTGGTGTCCGGCCAGAATGCCTCAGGAATGGGCCAATGCCCGACGGAGTAGCCCTTCTGAGCCGAGCGGGGGACGTAGATGAGTCGTCGACAGTTGTGCCAGCTGTTGTTAGGGACGGACTGACCCATCATCGGAGAATTCGTCTTCTTCTCGTCCTCCAGCTCCAACTTGATTGGTGTGTTAATGTCCTGGTTTTCTGGAAGATTTCAAAAACAATCAATCACAGCTAGCAATAGATCTCAAGTTTATAATTGATATTTACTTAAATTCATAAATGGACAATGGAGAAGATTCATAGAAACCAATTCTGGGCCCTTCAAGACATAAAAAGAATTGAGGGAAGTCCAAAGAGATGGTATCAATCAAACTTGTATGTACTTTGCACAGTATCTTACAACTAAACAGGACTAGCTCCATTGTAGTTTCTCAAGTTTAATTACTCTTCAGACAATAGACTTCATTGGATTTTTAAAAGCCTTCAAAATGATTTTTTCACCTTGAATTATTACGCCTTTCATACCTTTAGTGTTTCCATTGCTGTCAAGTCCATTCTCAGTTTTGATTTCTAAAGG